TTTATGTATATGTGTGTGAAGTATTTTGGTTGGAAATGGAGATTTTGTTTTCTGACACCGAAAGGGACCTCCTAATTGCTCAGAGGGACAAAAGGGTGGAGAAGTTAAGTACAGATTTCTGACACAAAGGATCTCTCTCTTATAACAACATGAGAGAGAGAAGAGAGAGAGAGAAGAGAGAGAGAAGAGAGAGAGAGAGAACGTGTAAGGGAATGGGAGAAAAGGGAATCTTGGGGGAGGGAAAGGATTGGAAATGGGAGGTGAGAGAGGAGACTTGAGAATCAATCCTTCGTGATTGAAATTTTTAAATTTTATTTATTTTTTAGTCCAAAAGTATATAAAAAACATATATATTAATGTATACACTCCCTCCCCAAAATTATTTTACTTTTTTTTTCTTTTTTTTTTTTCAGGAATTCAAGACTCATTTTGTCAATTTTTTTCTTCTCAATCAATCTATCTATCTTTGTTTAATTTTATAGGAGCATAAATATTGGTCAAGATCAATATTTATTAATTCACCAATACTCATTTCTTACGATTTGTTTTCCCTCTTTCAAATTTGTGCTGAAATTAATTTAAGAAAGATAAAGTAATTTTGGGTGGGAATGTAATAAAAATAGCATTTTAGTGTGTGTTGATTCACTCATTTTGATTTATTTTATTATTTTTATTTTTATATATTTTTTTGTTTTTTGGATGGGGTTTTGGGGGAAGGGTTTGGAAGTGAAAAAGAGAGATGATGTGGGCCTGGATAAGGGCCAACCACCATATGATCGCACATGGTTCCATTACAACCCCACTTGGCTTGGGGGCCCACTTTTGGGTCCATTATTGCTATCCATCTACGCCATCTCTGTTGCCCTCTTTACATAAGTATTTCTATCATCTTTCTATTTTATATTTCCTCTTTTGTCACTTTTCGGCCGTTACCAATTCCACTGATAAAAAATGGGGGCCGCCGCCGCCGCCGGCAGCCACCTGTGTGTGGTGGTTGGGCTTATCCATACATCTATAGACTATATCTATAGATATATATTCACAAATGACTATGTCTGTTATTGTTAGGACTTCGTAACTAGTTTACAGCTCAGAAAGGTATCTAGCATGGTAATTTATGAAAAGAAAAAGTGACTTCATGAATATATAAAAAGAACATAAATAAAGAAGAATAAAAAATATTATAATAATGTTCTTTAATTTACTTATGTATAATTGACTATTGAGTTTGCAGATTTGAGGAGAAAGTGTAATTAAGTTTGCGTGTTTACAAGTTCAACACGCATTTGACAAATGACCAATTTTAATAGTCTCAATCATGCTTAATTTTGAATTTATGTGGTGACATGACTTCCCTAAGTCACACTTATAATATTAAAATACGATTAAAATTAAATATCAGGCATGTTACTTTTGAAGTCTTAACTGTATTTTAATTTTATTTCAAAATTAGCGTCATATAAATGGGAAGGTTAGTTTGACGATGCTGACAAGAATTAATTTCTACTCTCACTTTATAACTTGGTTAATCATGGGAAACCTTATGATTAATCTTGACTTTTAGGTGGAGTTAGTTTGAAAAAGATAAATAAAAATCTGTAGCATTAGCGTAATCAATATGGTTTATCCAAAGATAACATATCCTGCAAAGCCTCTACTGTATGGTGTGATATATTGCTGTTGACAAAGACCATTAGTGCAAAATTATTATTATTTTATTATTATTGTTGTTGTTGTTAAGTATTAATAAAGAACTTTAAAAATACAATTAGGTTGATTTCTGTAAAGAAATAATTACTAATTTTGTAACTCAAATACTCAATCATATAAATAGGGGTGGATCAAACGGGTCTACTCCTAAAATGAGTAAATAAGACTCAATCATATCCACTAATTTTATGTAGATTAATGACTTATATTAATTAATTGTAATAAAATTAATTATGCATAAAAAATAACTATTATTATATTAAAATTAATTGTATAATAATTCACTAGCTTTGACCAGCCGCTGGCGGACGTTGACCAGCAGTCGGCCTGAACATTGTCAAAAGCATGTCGTCGTCGCCGTTCATGTCCCCGCCGTCGTCCCTCTCCATGGCAAACTACCGGCCGATGTTCCGTCGCCGCCATCGAAGACCTCCGGCAGCCATCGTTGGAAGTGGTTCTTCATGCAGCGAGACGGTGACCGCTAGCACTGTCGATATGCATTATACCGATGAGGCCCGATTTGCTTCTAAAACAAATTGCGGGCGTCGTCGGAGTATGGTCAAGAGAGTGCGTTGTATAGGAAAAGAAAATCCTGCTACAGGCTGGCGGAACGTGGTGCTCAGGGTGGAGAAGATCACGGCGGCGACAGGGATGGAGTGGTAGATCGTGGACTCGGCTCACGCGAGCGCCAGCGAGACTCTCGAGGCGACGCTGAGGCTGGGAGGAGATCTGAGTCGGAATTGGGACGACAAAGGATACGCCAACTGCCATAGGATGGTGCTCTCCGAAGAGATGGAGGCACTCGGATCAGACGAGACAGTGAGGACGGAGGTTAAAGAGTGGACTCACAGAGAGGATGAAATCGACCGTGAAATCAAATTTTTGATTTGGGGATTGGGCTTCTTTTTGTAAATTAGATAAATTTAGGGATCCCGACCAATTTTATAAACTTTTGAGTTACTGAGAAATAGATCCTTTAGTTCAATCTGTAATTTAAGCAAAAATTTAAAATTGGTCCTATAAGTTGGTCACTGTCCAAAAATCCAACCCGTCATTGACCACTTTCAATCTGGGTCCTATAATTTGTTAATTTCATCAACTTTGGTCTTCTTTTATCCGAACGCTGGATAAGAAAATGACGTGGCGTGACATGACAATTTTTTAATCTGATGTGGCGTGATTAGGGTTATGTGGGGAGATTAGAAAAGGCCTAATTAATTCACAATTCTTAAACATAATCAATTGGGTCAACTCCCAATTTTAGGGTCAACACAGCAGGGTCAACCGCCGCCAGCCGGCCGCTACCGCCGGTCGCCGGCCAGCGATCGCCGGAGAAACAAAATTCTTGAATAATACTGTGAACAAAAATTTCCACCGGTCTCTGGAAATTAAAAATTAAAATACTGTGAATGCTTTTTGAAGATTAAAATGCTCTTCACCTCGTGAATTCAGGAAGATTAAAATGCTCTTCCACCGGTCGTCCTCTCATTATGGCTACATCAACTCGTGAATTCTCTTTAATTATCTAAATTGAATTGAAATACTGTTTGAAGATAAAATACACACGTTCTATGAATTCTGTCACAGGGTCGAAGCGCAAGACATTAAAGTCAGATATTGTGGGGAAAAAAAAAACATCTCAAATTTGTCAATTGGAAGAAGGAGAATCAGGATTGGCGCCGAGATCCACTGTCGGCGGCGCGACCATGAACGGTACCGCTCAATCTCAGACGTCTTAGGGATCGGGAATTGTAGGGTTCCTTGAGAAGGGGAGGGAGAAAAATGGGAGCGAAATTTCCAATGAAAGCAGCGACGGTTCTTCAGGCTGGCCGAACACCGGGAACAACGGTAGAGCTTCGTCATCCGTCGACCGCATATCCAGTAACGGTGGTGGGATCCGGCAGCAACACGAGGAGCTTGAGGAGATTTTTTTTATTATTATTTTTATTTTAATTCCTTATAAATCCTTAATACACATTTCAACTTCAGTCCCATCACTTTTAAACTTCCTCTACACTCTCTAAAGCTAATTTCTCTTTCCAAATCACTCCCCATATATATACTACTTTTATTATTAATCATTTATTTTACACTAAAATCATAATAAATTGGAAAAGATTTCAACTCTCTCTCTCTATTCCCGTCTTCTCTCTCTCCGTTGCACCACCACCATGGGCGTTTGCAAAGCCAAGAGGAACTCGAACTTTCAGATTCTAAATATTCTAGCAGCGGGGAGGAGGAGGAGGAGGAGCAGCTAGAGGCAGAGTACCAGAAATTGAAGTACCAGAATAGCCCCGCCACCGCCTCTCGGAAACCTAACGCCGGCCTCGACTGATTTTGGGTATTGAAAGTGGGGAGGAAAATTAGGGCCAGGGTTTCGACTGATTTGCAGATGAAGTTTTTTGGGGACCAGAGGGGGGTCGATTTCGTTGACTGCGGTGTTTGGGCTTTGAAATTTTTCTCCGACGGGGATTACAGGAACTTTGTGACTAAATTTCAGGGTTGCTTGTTTGAAAATGTGTATGGATTGAAACCAACAGAGGAAAACAAGGTGAAAATCGCATAACCACTTGCTTCCATCTCAAAGTGGCTTGAAGTGGCGAAGCTTCGTGAAATGGTACCATGATGTCCGCAATTGGAGCTCTAAGTGACAACTGGTATTCAGATATTATAGATAATTTTAGACTTTGACCTGTGCTTAATTGTCTCCAGTATCATAGTACATCGGCATCTACAACTCAAAATAAAAGAATCTAACATACCTGAGGAAGCACACAAGGACCAAAAATTTATTTGTTCAATCCCATTAATGCCTCAAGTCGTACAACAAGGACTTTCTGGGATGGGTGAAGCCCGAGGATTCGGATGATTCAATGTGGGAGGATGGAGATGTCGGTGAATGGAGAAGTCCCGATAAGGCCCGTTCGATGGAGTTTTCAGACAGGGAGAATCAAGACTTGCTAACAAGATCTTTCCATTTAAGCACATATTTTAGGTAACAGGGGGCTGCTGAATACTAAGCAGATTTAGATAGGGATAAAAATTAGAAAGGATGGTAGCATAATGTTAGGAGTGTATGGCTGTTTTTTCTTTAGTGTCCAATCTTGAGCCTAATCTTTATTAGATGCTAAAGTCACCAATAAACCACAATGGTTTGTAAATCACAAGCAGATACGGTTTAACTGAAAGGTGTTCATCGTTCATAGATTGTCCTTATCCAATTTTACTATGATTAGTTTTCAAGAGATTTCGTTTAATGCATTTTTCCGTTTTATTTGTTTCATGTAGTTGAATTCAACTTAAAACAAGCAATAGCAACAATATTACTAGGAGCATATTTAATACTATTTTCGCCCGTTGCCCTCATGTATGGTTATGGAATTGCTTGATTAGATCTGCATATTTAATATTGTTTTTGCTTGTGCTGTTATTATTAATTTATTTGAGGTTGCTTGAGTTAGAATCGATCTTAAGAAGGAAATCTGCATCTAAATGAATGTTGGGTCTGTCTGTTGACTTGTCCTATTTTAATGGCATTCTTGTTGAAGTTTTATAACATGATTGAAGTTTGGAAAGGTTGAAAATAGAAGCTTGGAGTTTATTTTATTATTTCTTTTTTCTTTCACTATTATCAATGAGTTTTGTGTGTGTGTGTGTGTGTGTGTGTGTATTTGGAGATTTTAGAGCTAAAAAACCAGTTTTATGTAAACCTACTTTCGGATCATTTGCTTGGTTTATTGGATATAACATGAGAAAATTGTCTTTTAAACTTATCCATACTCAGCTGGTGCTACTATTGTTTCTGTTATCCACATGCCAACATGAGAATTTATTTATGATGTAACTTTGATGGATACCCTAAGAAGTCTGCAAAATTGAACTTTAGTTTTGATGCTTCACAGAATGGGGAGACTTATAGTTAGTCTAGAAATGTTTTAACAGAATAGTATCCACAAATAAAGCTTTTAAACAAAACAAGACACTCGTGATCTCGGCTTGGTTTATTAAGGCTTGGCTCTGCTTGCTTAAATTCTTCATTTGGTCAATATTTACAAAAAGTAGTACCAAACCTTAGAGTAAAATAGTACCAGTTTTGTATTGTGTTAGTACCGGATATTGGGTCATCAGTACCACTTGTAACGAACACATAAAAACATCGAATTTCGGTCTCAAATGATGTTTAAATGACCCACAATCACTCTAACATTAGTTTATATGAGATTTAAAATGTTTTTAATTGAATTTAATCGCAAATTGGTCATGAACTCGACACACTATTGAGAAAACACTATTAATACACTTCATTTCATTAAATGGCACACTTCATCTCATAGAATCATCATACATGACTATTCCAAATTCTACCTATATGTTTTAACTTCCACTATTTTTCATTCAAATCACGCGTTGACGATCCACATGAAAAGGTAGACATGAAAGATTAAAAAACACGATTTTTAAAATAGTACCTGTTTTAGCCAAAATAGTACCGCATTTGCTCCTACGTGGTACCTCTTTTTGATCGATTAGTACCTACTTTTGTGAACGAAAATGTATTGTTTCAATTTTGGTCAACATTTACAAAGAGTAGTACCAGACCTAGAGTAAAATAATACCAGTTTTGTATTATGCTAGTACCGGATATTGGGTCATCAGTACCATTTGTAACGAACACATAAAAACACCGAATTTCGGTCTCAAATAATGTTTAAATGACCCATGATCACTCTCACATTAGTTTATATGAGATTTAAAATATTTCTAATTAAGTTTAATCACGAATTGGTCATGGACTCGACACACTAATGAGAAAACACTACTAATACACTTCATTTCATTGAATGTCACACTTCATCTCATAGAATCATCATACATGGCTACTCCAAATTCTACCTACATGTATTAACTTCCACTATTTTTCATCAAAATAACGCGTTAACGATCCACGTGAAAAGGTAGACATGGAAAATTAAAGAAAACACTATTCTTAAAATAGTACCAGTTTTAGCCAAAATAGTACCACATTTTCTCGTACATGATACCTCTTTTTGATCGATTAGTACCTACTTTTGCTACTTTTGTGAACGAAAATGAATGATTTCAATTTTTGTCAACATTTACAAAAAGTAATACCAGACCTAGAGTAATATAGCACCAGTTTTGTATTGTGTTAGTACTGGATATTGGTTCATCAGTACCACTTGTAACGAACACATAAAAACACCAAATTTTAATCTCAAATAACGTTTATATGATCCATGATCACTTTCACATTAGTTTATATGAGATTTAAAATAGTTTTAGTTAAGTTTAATCGTAAATTGGTCATGAGCTCGACACACTAATGAAAAAACACTACTAATGCACTTCATTTCATTGAATGACACACTTCATCTCATAGAATCATCATACACGACTACTCTAAATTCTACCTATATATTTTAACTTGCACTATTTTTAATCCAATCCACATGAAAAGTTAAGCATGAAGGATTAAAAAAATAGTATTCTTAAAATAGTACCTATTTTAGCCAAAATAGTTCCGTATTTTATTCTACGTGGTACCTCTTTTTAATCGATTAGTACCTACTTTTGTGAACGAAAATGGATTGTTTCAATTTTTGTCAACATTACAAAAAGTAGTACTATACCTAGAGTAAGATAGTACCAGTTTTGTATTGTGTTAGTACCGGATATTGGGTCATCAGTACCACTTGTAACGAACACATAAAAACATCGAATTTTAATCTCAAATGATGTTTATATGACCAATGATCACTTTCACATTAGTTTATATGAGATTTAAAATATTTTTAGTTTAGTTTAATCGTAAATTAGTCATGAACTCGCCACACTAATGAGAAAACACTACTAAATTCTACACTACTAAACACTTCATCTCATTGAATGATACACTTCATCTCATTGAATGATCATACATGACTACTCTAAATTCTACATATATGTTTTAACTTCCACTATTTTTCAACTCAATCACGCGTGAACAATCCACGTGGCATGGTAGACATGGAGGATTAAATAAATCACCATTAGTAAAATAGTACCAGTTTTGACATAAATAGTATCGCTTCTTCTTCTGCATAGTACCTGTTTTTAATCAATTAGTACCTACTTTTGGTCAATGAAAATGGATTACTTTAATTTTGGTCAACATTTGCAAAAATTGGTACCAGACCTAGAGTAAGATAGTACCAGCTTTTGGTGTTTTAGTACCAAATATCGAGTCTTTAGTACCAACTCCGACGAATATAAAAAAAACACCGAATTTTGGTCTCAAATGATGTTTATATGACCCATCATCACTCTCACATTAGTTTCTATGAGATTTAAAATGTGTTTAAACAAGTTTAATCGTAAATTGGTCACGAACTCAACACACGGATGAAAAAACACTACTAATACATTTCATCTCATTAAAAGACATACTTCATCTCATTGAATGATCATACATGACTACTGCAAATTCTAATTATATGTTTTAACTTCCACTATTTCTCAACCAAATCACGCGTGAACGATCCACGTGGCATGGTAGACATGGAGGATTAAAGAAATCACGATTACTAAACTGGTACTAGTTTTGACAGAAATAGTACTGCTTCTTCCTCTGCGTAGTACCTGTTTTTAATCAATTAGTATCTACTTTTGGTCAACGAAAATGAACTACTTCAATTTTGGTCAACATTTGCAAAAATTGGTACCAGACCTAGAGTAAGATAGTACCAGCTTTTGGTGTTTTAGTACCAGATATCGGGTCTTTAGTACCAACTCCGACGAACATAAATCAATACCAAATTTTGGTCTCAAATGATGTTTATATGACTCATTATCACTCTTACATTAGTTTCTATGAGATTTAAAATGTGTTTAATTAAGTTTAATCGCAAATTGGTCACGAATTCAATACACTAATGATAAATCACTACTAATACACTTCATTTCATTGAATGACACACTTCATCTCATAGAATCATCATACATGACTACTCCAAATTCTACCTATATGTTCTAACTTCCACTATTTTTCATCTGAATCACGCGTTAACAATCCACGTGTCATGGTAGACATGAAGGATTAGAGAAATTACGATTCTCAAAATAGTACCAGTATTAGCCAATATAGTACCGCATTTTCTTCTACGTGGTACCTGTTTTTGATCGACTAGTATCAACTTTTGGTCAATGAAAATAGATTATTAAATTGTGGTCAACATTTGCAATAATTGGTAGCAAACCTAGAGTAAGGTAGTACCATCTTTCGGTGTTTTAGTACCAAATATTGGGTCTTTAGTACCACTGGTAATGAACACATAAAAACACCGAATTTCGGCCTCAAATGATGTTTATATGACCAATAGTCACGCTCACATTATTTTCTATGAGATTTAAAATGTTTTAAATTGAGTTTAATCGTAAAATGGTCATGAATTCGACACACTAATGCGAAATCACTACTAATACACTTCATTTCATTGAATGACACACTTCATCTCATAAAATCATCATACATGACTACTCCAAATTCTACTTATTTGTTTTATCTTTCATTATTTCTCAACCAAATCATGCGTGAAAGATCCACGTGGCATGGTGGACATGGATGATTAAAGAAACCACGATTACTAAAATGGTACCAGTTTTGACAGAAATAGTGTCGCCTCTTCTTCTGCGTAGTACCTGTTTTTAATCAATTGGTACCTACTTTTGGTCAGGAAAAATGGATTACTTCAATTTTGGTCAACATTTGCAAAAATTGGTACCAGACCTAGAGTAGGATGGTACCAGCTTTTGGTGTTGTAGTACCAGATATCGGGTCTTTAGTACCAACTCCGACGAACATAAAAAAAACACCGAATTTCGGTCTCAAATGATGTTTATGAGACCCATTATCACTCTCAAATTAGTTTTTATGAGATTTAAAATGTGTTTAATTAAGTTTAATTGCAAATTGGTCACGAACTCAACGCACTAAAGAAAA